CAATCCATTATTTATATTTGTTTTCAATAGAAAATAGAAATAGAATAGAAAAGTGCAAATAACAAGCCCATGATTCTAAACCCTAGCAGCTGATACTAAATTAATTTCACGCAGCTATGTCATGGAACAGGGTTCTGGAGATAAAAACATTGTTTGAAAAAGAAAAATACTCCTCTCTGTGATAGTAAAGATTGGTTTAAAATGGGCTTAAACTTCTTCAGTTAAAAGCACAGTACAGGGAAGAATAAGTACAAATGAGTTTTGGAATCTCTCTTGCGTCTCAGATTTCAAGATGTAAATAGGCTAATATTTCTTCTGATCACGCACACTTGTATTCCCCTCTCTTACCAGATTTTAGACCAGAAATTTTAAAAATGGCACTTGGTTTGTCATTCGTGACAAACCCAAGGAGCTGCCACACGGCCACACCATTCTCGTCGGGGTAGCAGAAGTAGACTGATCCACCCATACCCTCCGGAAAGGGCACAGTTCCCAGCATGAAGACCACCACATGATTGATTTTCTCGTAGTCGGGCAAGTTAAACACAAATTTGTCCTCTGCTACTTGCTGCGCCACTGTTTGAACCTGTAAAAAGAAGTTTGTTTAGAAAATGTACGTGGCTGCCCAATTCATGGTTGACTCCAAACCGTTTACAGGAATAAAACCCTAATACAAAACTCCATAAACCCCCCCATCCTCTGACAACAATCAATCAATCAGCCACTTGATAGGCTCCATATCACCCTGGGGGCTCTTAGCCACTTGGCAAAACCATGTCTTCAGGGCCTTTTAAAATGGTGTTAAGGTAGGGTTCCCATCTTATTTCCGCAGGTGTTATGTTCCACAGGGAGTGAGCTACTATAGAGGAGATTCCCTTTTTTTGGTCCCACTTGATCAACCTCCCTGAGACAGAGGACCTGTAAAATCCTCCCTGCTCTGGTGGGTCAGGTAGATGTAGTTGGGAAAAGATGGTCCTTGAAATAACCCAACCCAAAACTATGAAGGGCTTTAAAGATTAAAAAAAACAGCATCTTGAATTGGACCTGGAAGCAAACTGGCAGCCAACAGGAGAGGTGATACATGTGCAAATGTGTACAGAAAAAACATTACTACCAACCTGCCTTCCATCGAGGACCTGTATACTGCATGAGTCAAAAAGAGGGCTGTGAAAATCTCTACAGCCCCTCACATCCCGGACATAAACTGTTTCAACTCCTACCCTCAAAACGATGCTATAGAGCACTGCACACCAGAACAACTAGACACAAGGAAAGTTTTTCCCCGTATGCCACCACTCTGCTAAACGAATAATTCCCTCAACACTGTCAAACTATTTACTAAGTCTGCATTACTATTACTATTAATCCTCCCATCCTTCCTATCACCCATCTCCTTCCACTTATGACTGTATGGCTGTAACCTTGTTGCTTGTATCCTAACGATTTTTATTGACGATTTCCTAGTATGGTTTGATTGCTTATTGTACCCTATGACTATTATTAAGTGTTGTATCTTATGATTCTTGACTCTTGATGAATGTATCTTTTCTTTTATGAGAGCCTATACACCAAGACAAATTCCTTGTGTATCCAATCATACTTGGCCAATAAAGAATTCTATTCTATTCTATATCTAGACGTGCATATAACTATGTGGGCTGCCATATTTTGAACCAATTGAAGCTTCCAGATACTTTTCAAGGGCAGCTCCATGTAGAGCATTAAATGGAAACCCGCTTTCCCCCTGAGCAAATGTTTAGACGGGTAACTGGTTCACATCGCAATGCATCATTTTGTGCAATTTGGTTCATCCCTGCTCTAGCCTTCTCCACAGAACATTCTGCTCAATGGAATCCATATATATAGCACCACACTTCTCGATTAGCAGGTTCAGCATCTCTGACATGCTAAGCCACCTGATAAATCAGTCTGACTAATGCCAAAGGTGCTTTTTTCAAGAGGCAACTGGACTTGTTTTTCTTTTGAGGATGTTTTGCTTTTCATCCAAGAAAGTTTCTTCAATCCAGTTGCCTCATGACAAAAAGCACCTTTGGGACAACCATGATTGGATGACTGAGAATCTCCATAGATAATCAACCCTACTCATTAAAAAAAATGATTTCCACTGAAAATACAATGTATCAAAATGAATGAGGAAAGCGCCACTGGAAGTAATGGCTGCATCTGCAACGACCACAAGTTGTAATTCGCTGTTCAGACACGGTTTGTATAGTGAAATTAGTTAAAGTAGAATGCAAGCATTGGGTTCACAACTTGAAAAAGTAGGTTTTGCATGAAAGATTGCAGCCCAACATCCAATTGCAAATATTGGGCTGCAATCTTTCATGCAAAACCCCAATTTGCAATATAACTTGTGCAAATAGTGGTGAAGGATGTCATTTTTTAAAATTCATCCCTGAAGGATGAATTTGGACTCGGGTAGCTCTATGAAAAGGCTGAGAGGAAGAGCTGAGAGGAAGTAGGCAGCTTCATGGAGAGCCACAGAAGGATAAAATGAGGTTTTTTTTCTTCTTGAAATAGGAGCCTCATGTCCGGTGTACAAGTTTTCCCTCAGAAATAGACAACAATAAGGGGCTGCATCTTTTGAGCTGTTTTTTTTTTAAAAATCACACTCAGCTGAGGAAGGCATAATGTCTGTTGAAAACTTCCATAAATGCAATTTTAAGTTTGTAAATTCCCGTCACGAGTTGCACAACACTTCAAACCCACCCCCCAGTCTACCCTTTCAGGAAACCATTTGATGCACTGGGGACTACAGCTCCCACCAACCCACAATAGCCTCGGCTGCTCAAGGGGTGATGGGAGTTGTAGTTTCAAGACATCGGATCGGCGCCTCGCCGTCCCCTCGAGCCGCAAACCGCAGGAGGTGGTGCCTAGAGTCACCCCGCACATCGCTCACCATAGAAACCCCAAAGGGCCAGCCGGCCCTCTCGTTTCCATAGTCACCTCTTCTTCTTCTCCTCTCCCCCTCCCCTTCGTTGCCATGGAGATCCAGGCCAAGGAGCCCGCCCACTCCATCCCCCGCGGCCACGGGCGGGAGCCACTCACCAGCCTCCCCGCAACCAAGCAACCAAACATGGCGGCGGCGCCAGCACCCCGGCTTGGTCCTCCGAGGTGGCCTTTCTAGATATCTACAACCCGCCCGGACGAAAACCCCAAGGCCCCTCCGTGACGCCCTCCCCCCCCACTCCGCCCCAAGAAAGTACATCCGGGGCAGGCGGAAAGAGGAAATTTTTAAAAACATAGGTGGAAACATAGGGGGTGGCGAAAAGGACTTTATGTCCCAGGATGCAGCTCGGTAGAACAAGTCGGTCCGTTTCTACAGAAATCTCCGCAGCGGAGGCCGAAGAGTCTATTGGGAAATGCAGGCTACGGTTAAGGATGCGTGCGCGCACGAATATAACGATATGAAGTTGCTTTGTAAAACTATTTTGCTTTTAAGCTTCGACTTGGGAGTTGTAGCTCTTCCTTCGTGGAGAAGAAACTTACGGAATGCAGGTTTATCCCCCTTTCTACTCTCAAGGGAATGCACAAGCTTTCAGATTTCTTAGAATTCTTTAGGTGCACAAAAAGCATCAACATTGAAGTCTCCACATTTACCCATGTTTTTCCTGTCCCATTAAAATATTTCTGCCTCAGTGAAAGCAGGCTGTCAAAAAGCAGACCTACTGATCCATTTGTTTGTTCATTCTCCTGAAGCAAAATGAAGATAGGGTTTGTGTAAAAAGATCATAACATCTATGGTATCCTCGACGTACAACCATTCATTTTAGTGACCATTTGGAGTTACAATGGCACTGAAAAAAACATTGACTTATCAAGGGTTTTCACTTCTTGCCATGGCAGCATCCCCATCATCACATGACTAAAATTCAGGCACTTATGAGTTAGTGTCCTCACGTCATCGCCATTTGTAACCTTCCAAAAGGCAAAGGCAATGGGGGAAGCCAGATTCCCTTAATGACTGCATGATTTATTTAACAACTGCAGTGATTTGCTTAACAACTGTGGTGAGAAAGGTTGTAAAACAAGTCAAAATTCACTTAACTGTCTTGTTTAACAGTGGAAATTTTGGGCTCAATTGTAGCCGTTAAATCAAGGACTACTTGTACTTAAATGCATTAGAAAAGGTTACCCTAAAACCTAGAAATTGTAGTCTTTTTCAATTTAATTCCCAATTTAAGCAATAAAGATAATATTTTAATGAATTAATGTTCTGATATATTTGGGCTAACCACACGGCTAGTTTACACTGCTTGTTCTGCTTTATCCACAGCCAAAAAGGTAAAAGAAAAATTGATGTGAATACAAGTGTTCAAAAGAAGCCATTTTAAGATTAAAAATTATACATGCTATTCCAATTTATTTTTATTTAATCATCAAATTACACACATTCACATTTTCTTCTGGGCAGTAGCTTATCTTACATGTTATCTGTAACATCTCTCTCTCAGCCCAATCAATCTTATAGGGTTGTTGCTGGGGAGGGAGGAGGGAGTTGGAGTAATAAGTGCCATATATTGCATGTATTACATTTGAGTTGCTTGAAAAAAATAGAATATAAATATATAGAAAATAGAACTGTGCCTCTTATTTTGGGTATCTTCCCAAATATATTGAGAAGTTGATTCCATAGTGCAACTACACAGCTACATCTTTTCTTTCAAGTTCATATGGAAGCTTCAAAACATTTTAAGTTACTTTCATAAATACGTTGCATTTCTGTAAAGTCCTTATCCCTGCTTCCTGATATTTTTTGACAAAATGCACAACTTTCAGAAAAACTGGAGGAGGGAATGAAATAAACCTGACCAGTCCAATCAGTTTGTTTCTACATGCCAATTCATATTAAAATAAAACTCTGTCCTTCACATTCATTCCTACAAAAGAAAACTAAATGCTGGAGCCTGTATACATTATAGACTAATTTATATGTGTGTGTGTGTGTGTGTGTGTGTGTGTGGTTTTTTAAGTCATAAAGGGAAAAAGAAATGAGTGGAACCTTGCTAGAATTATGGTAAGCCTGATTCAGTTACAATATCTGACTTTTCAAATAACACAATGTTTTCAAGCAAGTTTTGATCGTTAAAATTAGCTACTTGAAAATAATGAAGCCCACATTTGAAGGAACTGTTGGTAGAATGCTGCATAAAACAATGTTCTCTTTATCTTATCAAATCTGCCTCTGTCATGCACAAACTTTCATCTGTTTTGTTCACAAACATACAAATTAGCAAATATCTATTTAACACAGAGGAAGTTCTCCAGCTTTCAAACACCAAAAGTAAAATATTTTTTTCAAACGTACAAAAATATTTTTTATTTTAAAAAAAGGATTTTTTAAAAAGGACAATGCTACCAAATCAAATGTAACCATCTCTAAGTTCAGCTGTTGACAGAAGCAAGGAAAGATTACTCTGAAAGCATTTCAGCAGGTAAGAAATTATTATGGCAAAAAAGCAGTATGAGTCTCAGGAAGCCGTAATTTATCGAAGTCTGTCCCAGCGCCAAATGCTGGCATCATCACACACAGCTATAAGGATACTACTGTCTCTGCTAAAGCTGGTTTGTCGGATAGCAGCAGCGCACTTTGGATGAGTAAGAGTTGTGCACCTATTAAAGAAATTAGTGTTAATTTTCTTTGCAAGAAAGAAAGCATCTTGGACAACGTAGGAAAGGAGGTAAATGTTTTAAACTTCGTTTTAAAAAGTCATCATCCCACCTCACTGAATACTATGCCCACACATCAAGATCTAATGAAGTTTAAAAAATGGATCCTAGTTAAATAACTTCAGACTAAAGAAATGGATTCTTTCAAAAAGAAATATTTCTCCAGGCTAAAAAAAAAAGCTGATGCAAGAAAGAATTGGGGGATGGGAAGTACTTCTACCTTGTTGTTTCTGTAATCTAGGCTTAAATTTTTGGAGTTGTGATAAAGGTATGCTCTGGTAAATGACCATGAGAGGCTTACATCAGGTAAATTTATGCCATCTATATAAAGGTACAGGTTCTGAAAATCCTTAATTTGTTACAGGCATGTTAGAAAATCATGAAGTGCTGGTTTTTAATCTGTCAAATATTTGTTTAGAAATTCAGATGCAATAGCCAAAATATACTGTATATTCCCATGCATTCATGAAGCCCATTCACTAATTTAAACATATGTAAAAGGTGAAAAATCATGAACAAAATCCCATTCCCATTTTACATATGCATAAAATGCATTACGTATGCATGTATAAAACTGTTTCAATTTAATGGTGCCTTGCTTTAACAGACATCGTTTCCCTCCGTCAACTCATGTCAATTCCCTCCATCAACTCTGTCAACAATGAGAGTTTACTGTACATTCTTAATTGGAAATCAAAGGGAGATCATACATAAATTAAGTTATTAAGGGGTCCAATAGGTGCCTGTATCCCAGTTATTTTATAGTGGTAATCCTAACCCTAACCCTAACCCTTTCATTTTCAAACAAAAGGCATACCACTTAATATTTCCAACTGCAATTTTAAACATTACACTATCCCCACTATCCTCTCAGAGCTGAAGCAGCTTCTTGGATGAGAAGCAAAACATCTTCAAAAGAAAAAACAAGAAAGTCCAGTTGCTTCTTGAAAAAAGCACCTTTGGGGCAACCATGACCTGGGTGATTGAGAATCTCTACTTTTAAACATTACAATTTAAAAGGTTTACGTGCATGCTTCACAGTGCTTACAAGAACTGGAACAGTACCAAAGATTTATACATACTTACTTTGCTTTATGCGGATCTTCTACTTCTAAGTCCCATACGTAGAGTTTGCCAACTTGATTGCCCAATGCCAGCATCTGGAAAATACATGCAGTCAATCCTGTACCACAGACACAAGGGTCAAAGGATCTAAAATGCATTGTTCAATATCACAGCCTACTACCATGGGTTAGAGATGTTGTAATTCATATTCACCTCAACAAACATATATTCAAACCCTTCCTATTCAGGCAACTCAAGAAATGCCTGGAGCTTAATTCCTGCCCCAATTAAATTGTTCAAGCTGTATACTACATTTTAGTAATAGAATCATCATTCCACATTTGTAAGCATTTTAGGGTAATGGCTTTCTCCATGGTCCTGAACTAAGGTTTAGTAATGTACAGTTAGTTCTCAACTAACCATCTTTCATTTAGTGACCAAAGTTATAGCGGCACTGAAAAAAGTGACCTGACCATTTTCCACACAACCATTGCAGCATCTCCATGGTCACATGATCAAAATTTGCATGTATTTATGACAGTTGCAGTGTTCCTGGGGTTATGTGATCACCTTTCGCGACCTTCTGACATAGTCAATGGGAAGGCCAAATGCTCTTAAAACTCGTATTGATAATTAACTGCAGTGATTCACTGAACTGTGGCAAGATAGATTGTAAAATGGGGCAAAAACTTACGTCTTGCTTAACATAAATTTTGAGCTCAACAACTTTGAACTCTGGTGCTGGAGAAGACTCCTGCAAGACCCTTGGACTGCAAGGCGATCAAACCGGCCAGTCCTAGAGATCAATCCTGACTGCTCTTCAGAAGACCAGATCCTGAAGATGAAACTCAAAGACTCTGGCCACCTAATGAGAAGGAAGGACTCACTGGAGAAGAGCCTCATGCTGGGAATGATTGAGGGCAAAAGAAGGGGACGGCAGAGAATGAGGTAGCTGAACGGAGTCCCTGAAGCAGTAGGCGTGAGCTTAAATGGACTCCAGAAGATGGTAGAGGACAGGAAGGCCTGGAGGAACGTTGTCCATGGCATTGCGATGGGTCGGACACGACTTTGCAACTAACAACAACAAACGGTTGTAAGTTGAGGACAGTCTGTATGAATGAAATTTATGCTGATGCTCTCTCTTCTTCTCTAGCAAGGCTATAAGAATAAAATACCACTGAATATTTTTTTATGGAAGTAATTCATAAAACCCTACACCATTGTGGTTTAGGTCACTCTTCCCATTTAGTCATCTCCAAATGTGAAGACTACTGCCTTGAAAATTGTAGCTTAACACATCTGTAACACGCTACATTGCATAAGAGTCTGCAAAGTGAAGAAGCCGTTGTAATTAACACCACTTTTGGGGTGTGAATATAGAGTTAAGTTACAGAGGCAGTTTGGTCTAGTGGTTCAGGCACTAGACTAGGAATGAGGAAGCCCGAGTTCTAGATCTGCCTTGAGCATGGAAACTGGCTGGGTGACTTTGGGCCAATCACTCTCTCTCGTCCTACGAGTGAAGCAATGGCAAACTGCTTACAAATAGTGTTGCCAAGGAAGCTGTAGAAACTTGTGAAGGCTGACTCAAAGGCTTCAGTTATATAAAACTAGGTCATCGTGTACTAATAAGGTCATAGCTTGCTACAGCCAAGCATGTTCTCTATTAAGAACATGTGTAGATTCTCAACTGTAGAAACCATTTACATTGTGTGTGTTCTTTAAAAAAAAAAAAAAGTTTGGAAACCTCTAGCATTCTTCATTCCAGAAAAATTCCATTCCCGTCATGAAAATGTACTGTACTAAGCTTTCTTTTCCATAGTGGAAATACTCGTAGTCATCCAAGAGACTGAATTCTTCACGTTAGAAATACATTGGAAACCACAGGATTGGCACAACAGCAAGCACTGCTGACTGGTGAGAATGAAGTCTGACTGAATTATCTCTTGTCTGTGTCCAGTTACCTCTTGGAAAAGCACCTTTGGGATATCTGCCCTGTTGACTTACTGTTCTCATTCCATTGCCGATATTATTTTTATTAAACACTTGAATTGCTTTTCCTGTTTCCCAGAAAAATAACCTGAATTACATCAATGAAGTTAAAATGATCCCTCCTGCAACTCGCATTTGGCCCTTGCTTGGCCTCTCATACCTTCCTGCAGCATCCCCGTGTTCCTTACCTGTGGCTCTCACTGCTTTCCGCTTAACAACTGTGCGTCTCAGGGTTATGATGGCGATTAGGATGGCTTGGATTTCCGTTGCTATGTGAAGCGGTCACGTGACGCCCCAGTCCCAATGACCATCGTAACCTGAAGGCTACCTTTAGTTTCTCATTCACCCGTATCGCCCAGAGGCATTCGGTAACACACCATCTAATCATGACAGGTTCAAAAAACTTGGAAGTTTGTCTTTTCTTCTCCAGGACCATGGCACATTACAGTTGATGGACGCCATCACTCACCCCATTTCTCCAATTCAGCGTTAATCCTTATACATTAGATGGGCTGTTTAATCCCCACGAACCCTTCATACACTCAAGCTGCTTCACAATACCTTACTGTCAATTAAAAAATACTTATTTGGTCTTTTTAGTTGCCAGCAGAAAGGGAGTGGGAGAAAGTAGTGCATTCCTGAAATGCTTCAGATAATTGCTAGGCAGCCGAAGCTGTTGGCGCGCAAGATTATTACTGGAGAGCATGATTGATGACTCTTGGCTATGGATGTGTCCCATTGGAGAATATACATCCAGGGGGTGGGGGGAAGACTAGGGTCAAGGGAAAAATGAATGGTGTGTCTTAGTGTTGGCTGCATCCAGGTAATGCCGACATGGTCACTCCTAATAAATCATTTTTTTTTTACTTTGAGAGATGCGGCTAGAGACTTGATTTGAATGGAGGTGGATCTGTCGGAGCCCTGGGTTGCTCCTTATACAGATAGTTCTCGACTTACTTTGTTTAGTGACTGTTCAAAGTCACTTAGTTTGTTTAGTGACTGTTCAAAGTGAACCGTTCAATTTGTGCAAAACCCACATAACTGGTTTATACCAATCTGAACAATGTGCACCTGTTCACACGTTCCACATTCCGTTTTTAAAATATAGGTAGTCCTCAACTTAAAACAGTTTGTTTAGTGACCAAAGTTACAATGGCACTGAAAAAAGTGACACTTTTCACACTTATGACTGTTGCAGCATCTCCATGGTCACATTATTGAAATTCAGGCGCAGCTGACTCATATTTATGACGGTCGCAATGTCCCAGGGTCATGTGATCACCTTTTGTGACCTTCTGACCAGCAAAGGCAATGAGGGAGCCAGATTCACATCCCCACCGTGTTACCCATGTTAATAAGTGCAATGATTCACTTAACAGTTGTGGCAAGAAAGGTCATACAGTGGGGCAAAACTCACTTAACAAATGTTTCGCTTAGCAACAGAAATCTGGGGCTCAATTGTGGTCGCAAGTTGAGGACTACTTGTATTATTCTACTGCTCAATCGTATATGATTTTTACCTTTTGCCAGAAATCCATAGAAAACCTCATATACCAAATATCACATTGGCTATAATCAAATCGCCCTAAAATGGTCACATTTGACTCGCTGGGCTTAATTTTATCTATGTTGTCTTCCATTTTGCCTGGTTTCCAGCATACAATGGCATTTTCACAAGACTGCAGAAAGAAATAGGGAGGAAAAAAGCAATATTAGTGACAAAAACGTTCTCACTAACCCAAACTGCAGCTAAGATGAAATGTTTAGCCTAATATTATGTTGACAACTGTGTTTTATTTTGGAAAGAAATAACAACAGGGCATGGATCTATACAATTTATTTACCTCAGACGGTAAACTGTTTTTAAGCTGCCTTCTAGATATTAAAACATGCATAATGAAAACCAAACAAAAGTAATTTTGAAAAGCAAGAAACACCTTGGAAAGGATCAGATCACCCAGCCATCTCACACAGTCTACATAATTTCTATGTATGTCTCTTGTAGAGAAGTCAGGAAAATGAATCTTTTGAGAAACAAAGGGCCTGCAGACAAAAGAAGGGAGACATGAAAAAACAGGAAAAATTGGGAGAAGAGGTCTGCACTGAATGCAACAATTATTGGTATGTTTAAATACAATTATTATTGGTCTCTGATTAAACACAGTACATACAGGTAGTCCTCAACTTACAACAGTTCATTTAGTGACCATTCAAAGTTACAATGGTACTGTGAAAAAGTGGCTTTCACCCTTAGAACTGTTGCAGCATCCCCATGATCCCCTTATCGAAATTCAGATGTTGGCAACTGACTCATGTTTATGATGGTTGCAGTGTGCCAAGGTCATGTGATCGTCTTCTGATAAAGTCAGTCAGGAAGCCGGATTCCCTTAGCAATCGTGTTACTAACTTCACAACTGCAGTGATTCACTTAACAACTTTGGCAAGGAAGATTGTAAAATGGGGCAAAAATCACTTAACAACTCTCGCTTATCAACAAAAATGTTGAGCTCAATTGTGGTCGTATGTCAAGAACTACCTGTAATGTATAAAAACAAGGCAAACATTGGTGCAATTCCTCTTATGCCCCAGGTTCGGTGATGCTATTCTAGTTTCTTGAATATCTAAAAAAAGTGATACGTCAGAAGAAACGTATAAGTAAGTTGAATGCACTAGCAATGAAATACTTAAGTGATCTTCAGGAAGCGGTTAAGGACTTTAAAAAACAAAAGGTAATGTAAAGTACGTGGTAGAAATAAGGATACTTGGAAATGACGAAAAGGCATGGAGAGACATAATGAATGGTATTGATAAATTAGTCTTTTGTCTTTTTTTCCCCTTATTTTTTTCCACAACTTCTTACTCCTTTTCTGTCTCTGCGTAACACTCCTTGCCCCAAATGGCAACACGCAATGTATATATATTTATACATGGAATACAGTTTCCTTTACGTGTGAGCTAAGGAATTGATTTAAGGATTAAACGAAAGTATGAAAACCACATTATTTTTGCTGGTTTTTAATGCTGATATTGACTTATAAAGCTTTGCCCTTTTCAGTGTTTCAGTAAGGACATTTCTATAAAAATTCTACAAAAGGTGACATACAACCAAATAAAATGAAATACAGATGCAAATGTCTGAATCCTACGCACATCATACTAGTATAAATCCATTGAATTCTCCTCCGATTCCCCAACAACCACCACCCTGTAAGAAACGTTGAGCAGAGAGACAGTGTTTGATCCAGATCAAACCAATGTACTTCTGTGGCTGTCATTGGATAAGAACTCTGGGCATCCTTACTCCTAATCCAGCCCCTTAACCAGGGGTGGGCTGCTGGGGGTTCGCGAGAGCCCCTAGCTAAGATTCTGTGCAGTTCAGAGAACCCCCAAATCTCACTCCTGGCTGGCCCCGCCCCGCCCACCCCTCTCCCCCCAGGAGTCCCCACGCAGCCCGTTTTGGATGCAGGTAAGTGCAGAGCGCATGCAGAGGCTTAGGGAGGGCAAAAAATGGGCCTCCCGGAAGTTCAGGAAGGCCGGAAATGGGCCTGTTTCCGTCTTCCAGAGAGTCTCCGGAGCCCGGGGAGGCCATTTTCGCCCTCCCAAGGCTCCAGGAAAGTCTCTGGAGCCCAGGGAGGGCAAAAATGACGCCCCCCCCACCTGGCATGGTGTAGGAGGCCAACTAGGCCACACCCACCATGGCCACACCACCCAGCAACCAGGCAAAGAACCCTTTGCTAAAAGTTTTGAAGCCCACCCCTGCCCTTAACCATTACACCACATGGACTCTTAGTTTTGATATTAACTCGTTGCTAAATCCATGCACCTACCAGTTTTAGGTTGGAGGATACATGATTTCCTAAGGAGACTTTGAGACTCAAAAGGGAAGCATAACACTGGGTTCTTACCTATTCGTTTTATTGGGATTGTACTCATAGGATTCTTTGATGGCATTTATCATTCTCTTTGAATTGATTCGCCAGAGCTTTAGAGAGTGATCCATGCCACAGGACATTATCTTTTCCCCAAGCAGGTCATAATCCTGTATACAAAACACACAAAATCACAGCTTTTAAGTTTTGCATCTAAAATGCAAAGCAAAGCAAAAACAGCACCTCCGAAAACACTCTCCTCTCCAAATAAACCTGATCACAAAGTGTTCGTAATTGTTTTTAAGTTTTCTAAAGTTTATAAAGTTTGATTTTCAGTAGAAAAAACAAGGTCAAAGTGATTTCCAAAAGAGTTTCTCAAACCACATAACAATATTGGACTTACAGCACTTAAAACTTCATCTCTGTGTCCTTCGACCCCTCCAAATATCGCAACCAAAGTGTCTGTCTGAATGTTCCATAATCGGAGCGCATGATCTAGTAAAATACAAGAAACCAGATTAGATTGTGCAACCCATACGTAACTCACCATTAACATATTCCTCATTTATAACTACTGTACATATTATAGTGAACTACATCAAAGATTACTTAGAGATGACAGAGAGATATAAATGCTTAATGAAAAGAAATAGGCCCAGATCTCACATGAGGTTTCAAGCATCTATGCTGCCAAAGAGCTTCCATCTAAGGGGGGGTGGGGTGTCTCTTCAGGCTTATTTAATAACCGTAGTTTACTTCTTTAAAAAAAAACAACTTCAGTGGTATAAATCTTCAGTGCAGCTACAAGAAGAAAGCATCTGTTATCTCTTGGAAAATAAAGCAAGCTTTTCAATAATTTCAAGTTTGACTTTGAAAAAAAAAAGTATCATTTGCTGTAACCACACAAGATTCAAGGCTGTAGTTTGGGTCTATCTTATTTCACTAGCCTAAAGGACAGCAACCGACAGCTCTCCTGATATTGCAGAATGCATATCCCAGCATCCCTCAGCAGTGACCCTGCTTCCTAGAAAAATGTAAATAAGCAACATCTGGAGTAGCCTTGCAGAACATGTGGTCTGCTGGCGGGGGTTTTAAAAACATCAATAAATTCACTGCCACCCCCAAAGATGCACTCATGAGTGCCTCTAATACCTCAAGGCCCCACCACTGCCAGAGCCCCAGCGTTCCTGCCATTACCCTAGCCACCAACCAAACTGATTGGAGTGCCAGGTATTCTTCTGTGGCTCATAGTGACTTTTCATTTACCAATGTGGCCTTTTCTCTTTTACAAGCTGTGCAGGCCTAGAATAACGTTTGTGTAATAAACCATAGTCTGCCCATAGCTCACAATAGGAAACAAAATAATAAACATTAAAGGGTAACATTGTTTTCTTGTGCCTTGTGATCAGGAAATCCACATTCTTTGTAAACTGATAAATTTCAAACTGTCTTTTAACTGTTGCTGATCTTTGTAGTGTTATTAAACTACTTTGTAGTGTTATTAAACTATAGGGTAATTAAACTAAGGGTTATTAAACCAGAACAAAGTAGAAGTGGGACATATCTATGTCAAATGAGAAAACATTCTTTCAACAATTTCACACTTTCAGTATAATGAACCTGGCAGTCAATTACATTTTAAAACCCTGAGGTACCCAATAATCTTGCAATACAATCTTTTATTGGATTAAACTAATTTCAAAGTCATCAGAAACATACTGTTCTTGAAAATCCTTAACCAATGTTTTGTTACAACTGAATCTTCTGTTTTCTCAAGTTCTAGCCAATAATAAATCTCTCTCTTAGCAGCACTCTTTATAAAACAATGGATAATATGCTTTTTCTAATACAGTCTCTATCCACCATTAAAGGTTTATAACTTTTTAACATGATGCTTCGTTCATTTCACAGCCATCCTTGTTCTTCTTCTTGCTGGTACAAAAAAAGGCCACTAATACAGTATATTACTAATAAAAACTGTTAAAAAATGTATTCTTCTACCTTTGCTAACAGACAAAAGAAGATTTGGATCCCTTGGGTGAAATTTCAATTCATTTATTGCATTTCCGTGGCCCACATAGTGCTGCAATAAAATTCAGAGATTAGTTTCCTTGATGTAACACACAATCCTGACGTATCCCATGCCAGAATTTTAATGCAACTAGACCAGTACAGATAGTCTTTGATTTGTGATTGTTCAAAGTTATGACAGGTTTCCCTGGAGATACTTATGACCTGGTTCGGAAGTGCCAATAGTCACCCCCCACACACACACACACATTGGACACTCAACAACAGGCCTGAATTTACAGTTGTTTGCAGCATCCCAGTCACATGACCACATCTTAACAAATGATTTGCCAAGAACCAGCACATACTTCAGCAAAAATGGCCCATAGTAAACCATTGGTTCATTTAATGATTGTGGTAACTACTTTAACAGCGCTTCAAAAAAGGTATAAAATAGGGTCAGTCATGACTATCACAAATTATGACATTATGACACTGCACAAGTCAAAAAGAGGGCTGTGAAAATATTTACAGACCCCTCACATCCCAGACATAAACTGTTTCAACTCCTTCCCTCAAAACGACGCTATAGAGCCCTGCACACCAGAACAACTAGACACAAGGAGTTTTTTCCCAAATGCCATCCCTCTGCTAAACAAATAATTCCCTCAACACTGTCCAACTATTTACAAAGTCTGCACTATTAATCTTCTCATCACTCCTTATCACTCATCCCCTCCCACTTTTGACTGTATGACTGTAACTTTGTCGCTTGTATCCCAATTATTTTTATTGACTGTTTCCTAATATGATTTCATTGCTTATTGTACCCTATGATTATTAAGTGTTGTACCTCATGATTCTTGACAAATGTATCTTTTCATGTACACTGAGAGCATTTGCACCAAGACAAATTCCTTGCGTGTCCAATCACACTTGGCCAATAAAGAATTCTATTCTATTCTATTCTATTCTATTCTATTCTATTCTATTCTGGTCGTAACTCAAGGATTATCTGTAATTAATCTTTAAGTGTTTAAGACAGGATTATTTCACAGATTTTCCTGGAGAGGCTGAACTTCTTTGCATGCTAAGCATGACCTCTCTGGTCCCCATCTCACCCTACATATTTTCTACTTAGATGCCAGAGGCAATATTTGAACCTCATATTTACCTCTGGGATCAACTCACCTTTATACACTGCATCGTAATGGGGTTAATTATTCGAATAATGCCTCGGGAGCCAGCCACTGCCAGAAGAGGATGGCTTGTATTGCTGTCGTAAGTCCACGCACAAGTATAAAAGTTTTCATCTGCCTGAAGCATATAGTTAAGTACAATGCACACAACTGCAGACTTTCCACCGACAGGGATAGAAAAATGCTTGCACAATTTAAGACACTCATTTGGGAAAAGTGGCAATTTAAAAAGTATGTTAGGGATAGTTTATTCCTTCAACCGTTTACACAAATGATTGGCCATTTGATATAAAAATCAGTTACGAGCCAAAGGACGATTATGTTCAGTATATGCAGCAGCCATTAAAATATTAACAGCCCACAGCTCAACAGCAGCTTTCTCTGGCTTAGTTCTCTCTAAATGTTTTTGGAGAACATTTCCCATAAATTCCTTGCATAGTTACTGACTCACTGCAAGGACACCAGATGGAGGAGGCTATTCCAGGGAGCTAAAAGGGGAGGCAGAGGAGTCCATATGAGGTCAAGGGAATGGATAAAATCTGGAGGCAGCAGAGGCTAGAAATTGCAAAACAGCTATTCAACCGCTCCCTTGGTGTCATTTCAATCCTTCTGAAACCTGTTTCTCTAAATCGCAGTCCTGATCCCGTCCTTGACTATAGCTCCTACTAGCCGTGCTTCCACTCTCAGGACTCTGAAATACAGAGGGGTTCATCACATACTCCAATCTACGGTGTTAGTTTTTAGGCCAGCCTTTCCCAATTTGGGAAATTGACATGCAGATCTTAAGCTCCCACAATTACACCTGGCACAGCAACTCTGCATGGAATAACAGAGTTGGAAGGGACCTCTGTCTTCTATTCCAGCTTTCCCCAACTTTTCGGGGTGGGCAGCCCGGAAGGGGGGGGGCGGCAAGGGGGGAATGGTTTTGTGCAAGGGGGCAGGTATATGCAGGGGTAGGATTCAATTTTTTTAACAACTGGTTCTGTGGGTGTGGCTTAGTTGGTGGGCGTGGCTTGGTGGTCATGTTATTGCCTGGGCGTAGCCAACTCAACATCACTCACATCGAGGCATGCATCTGCTCGCCTGGCCTCTCGTGACTGTAGGGATGCTACAACAGTCGTAAGTGTGAAAAACGGTCATAAGTCACTTTTTTCAGTGCCACTGTAACTTTGAATGGTCACTCCACACAAGCAAAGTACCAGCAAAGGAAGGGAAAAAAATCTCCAGAGAGGTTCCAGAGACAGGAAGTCTAGTCCTGCCAAGAATGTAAAAAGGGATAACAGAGAGGCAGTTTCTGTAAGCAACACCAGAATGTTTCCTTCCTGCCTTCCTTACAGGATTAAGCCAATAATTTCTTCTAACAACCGTTTCTCCGAACTGCTTAGAATGTTAACAACCGGTTCTAGCAAACAGGTGTGAACCTGTAGAATCCCACCCCTGGGTGTATGCATACACATACACAGCTTCACTTGTGTGAGCAGTCGGTGTGCACGCCTGCCACTCGCACAAGTGCTGGCACCTGCAGCTTGCATGAGTGGGGCTGTGAGCGCCAGCACAGTGGCCGGCTACTCTTAAGGCCCAGTTGCAAATAGGCCGTGTCCCAGTAGTGTGCCTTGGCCCACAGGTTGGGGACCCTTGTTCTAGTTCAACCTCTTGTTCAAGCAGGAACCCTATACTCATAATGGTGAACCTATGGCATGCATGTGGAAGTGGCACGCAGAGCAATCTTCACCGGCACACAAGCCGTTGCCCCGAAGCAGGTCCACTGTACATGCACGCACGGCGCACGCCCAACTGATCATCAGGTAGCTGCCATGCATGTGCGGGGGGGGGGGGCACAGGAGATGCATGTGTATGTGCAGTAAGGCACAGGGCGCACAGGGACTTCACATGCGTATGCGCAGAAACACACAGTGCGTGTGGGGGTCATGTGCGCATTCACAGGGCGTGCCCATGTGCATTGCCTTATGGGTGTTGGCACTTTTGGCACGCGAGGACGAAAAGGTTAGCCATCACTACCCTACACCATTTGAGACAGGTTCCTGACTCAAGTGTTGTTTTCTTAAAAAACAAACAAACAAATAAATCAGCACTAAGTTAAAAAAAATCCAGAGATAAAAAAGAACTTTAAGGAGGAAATGACAACATGGAAAGTACTGCACAAAATAGTTAGGACATCAGCCTCCTGTGTTGTAACGACCTGGGTAATGGGCTGTGTGATGACCTTCTGAGTTCTATTGTTTTGACATCATGGGTCTTGTGCTGTAATCTCCTGGGTCGTTACCCAGGTCGTTACAACACAGGAGGCTGATAGACACACAGCCAATACCTCAGCCACACATGTCCTTACGAAAAAGCCAGCCAATCTGCAAACATCAACTCCATCAACCAATCAAGAAATTACAACACAGCCAACCTCCCCACCAGTTTCTAGGGAGGTTGGCTTTGCTCGCACAAGCACAAAGCTGAAAGCACCAGCCTGAAGATGGCGAATGGGACCTCATCGAAACGTCGCCAAGATACACTCAATCTTACATGGGAAAAGACCCGAACACACCAAGACATACACACACACACACGCGCACACACACTTACATATATGGCAAAGCATTCAAAATACTTAAATAGCATCCTGAATATAGAACAAGTGATATAGCATATTTCTGATTGTTTATATACCCTTATCACTACTAAAGTCTACAGAACCTAATGAAATGACCCTTTCTTCCAGGTGGTTTCAGAGAGTGTGATGTGCTCAAAACCACCCTAGGAGACCATACCAGGAAACTACAGTGATGCTGTCATCAATCCCTTTGGAACCACAACTGATGCAAAGGAAACTATGCGTCATGGAAAAATGAGAAAAGGGGACAAAAGGGGGAAAGAAAACCGACATCATTATGCAGTTGGGCCTAATAAGCAATAAGATCCAAAATCCCATAGGACAGAACATTTTACTTCACCCCCTCTGGAGATTTTTTTTTTAAATCAACAGATCTTGTGAAAAAGATTTTAAAAAGAGAGAAATATGTCTCCCCAAAAACAATTCTAGAAATGTATGTAATAAAGGATACATCAGCATCCACATACGATTGCAATAACCGTATTTCTCCTTGGGAATGGCATTCATATAAAGTTACCTGCAGATGGACAAAACACAAGAGGTTAAAGCGAAGCCCTTCCATACCAAAGTCGAAAACTTTGAAGTTAACTTTTCTCAGCAGCAGGAAGGAAATAAACAGTACACAAACAGCTTAATTTACACAGGCGCACAATGTCATAGGCCCAGCCATAATCTATTTCACCTGTTGCAGATCTGCTTCGGCTCTATCAATGTAATCTTGAATATCTATGCGTGTATAGATGCATATGTTTAACAACAGATACAATATAAGTCTTGGAGGAGCCAAGCAAACCTATGATCCTGCAAAATTATATCATACAGTATAATAAAAAACACAGAAAATCAACTAAAACAAGACAGCCAATTTGGTCTAGCGTAGGGATCGGCAACCTTAAACACTCAAAGAGCCATTTGGACCCGTTTCCCACAGAAAACACTGGGAGCCACAAAGGTCCTAACAGGAAGCCCCCCTGTTCAATTCTGGAGCCAATCGGAAGTCCGGTGCCCCCACCATAGAGTCTTCTCCTAGTGCGGCGTCCTTTTACCTCTACCTGTCCTAACCAAAAGCCCTATCAATTGTGGAGCCGACTGGAAAACCTGCCCCTTGCCATAGAGACTCCTCCTGGCACGCCGTGCTTCCCCCCCCCCCCAAAAAAACCCGGAAGCTCCTCTCAAAATTGTGGTGCCGCAGCAGAGGGACGAAAGTGCCTCATGAGGCTCCAGAGCTGCGGGTTGCTGACTCCTGGTCTAGCGGTTAAAACACCAGATACATTTGCTGCCTTGAGTTACTTGTAAAAATAATTTTAAAAGATGGGATTCAAATAAATAACAAGTCACAATTCAATCAGCTTATTTTTAAACTCAGGTGAAATTCTCTGCTTCCCACATCCCAAGTGGAACGAAGTCCACTGCTTTTCATTTAAAAGCCTATGCTTCCGAGGCACATAGCATAGGCTTCAGGCAGCAACCTACTGCTGCCTCAACTCATCACAAGTTCCAAGAGTCAGCTCATAAATTCAAAAGCACTGTTCAGCTTTTCCCAAAAAACCGGCACTCTATAATCTTCAAAAGTGGGACAGCAGACCCCCAGGAAGCAAAAAGAAAAGAAGCTGTGGAGTTTGTTGTGCTCTCTGAGCTTGGTTGTTTCCTTGCAGATGTTTCATTACCTAACCAGGTAACATTACTGCAAGTGAGTGTGGGGTTTGCTGCTAGCTGATGTTACCTAGCTGAGTAATGAAACATCTGCAAGCACACAATTGTTCTCAGAGAGTACCAAGTTCCACCCTAAGCTATAGATAATCTATTATATTGGAAAGAAAGATGCCCAAAATGAGTTTTAAGAAGCTGCTTACCCGGTTGCTGCCAACAGTGGCAAATACCAGAGGATCGCCTTCCTTGCTGTGCCAATTAAACTGCACCCCAAATAACGGTTGGCTGTGATCCTCCTGAAAAGGAAACCGCAAGACAAGTTCAAACCATAGCATTTCATCCAGCATTAAAACCAGTTCAGCAGGGACATAAATAGGCTTAACAAAATTGTTGTACAGGTTATAACCATTTTTTTGTTGTTGAGCTATCACCATTTTTCAGGAACCCTTCAAAATGATGACAGTGCAGAACAAGGGGGACTTATGACCAGTCCTTGGTGTCTGGCTGTTGCAATGTCGCAATTACGTCATTGTCATGAGCTGCGGCCACATGATTACCATTTGTGACCTTTCCTGTTGGCTTCCCACAAAGTCCTGTAAGTCGCTCCTACTACATTTTCTCCCAAGAAGTCCCACTATGGAGTACTGGATCCCAAGGACTTCATACTCCATAGTATACTTCCGCCCATTCCTGCTCCGTAACTGCTCCCATTGGCCTTCCCACACTCCTTATTGTCCGTCTTTGCCCTTCACAGGCTTGTTTACCCTGAGTAGTGTTTCCCTGCAGTACCCATCATCAACCCTGCCCTTCCATCCACAGCTCTTTCCCACTGGCCTGCTTATACAGGACTCCCGTCACATGAGGACCTCCCTTAACAACCTGTGTGGTGTCTGGGTTATGACAGCAACCAGATACTCCTGGGATTGCATCATTTCAAGTCATACTTTAAAACCACATTTCTTAGTGACCAAAATTCATTTTCTGATCTCTTTTTTAACAACGTTCAATAATATAAAAAAGATACCTCATCCCACGAATGGCATGAATGGCCTAATACTGAACGGCCACATATAGTTACAAAATGACTAATCTACCGAAGTAAAAACTTGTGAGCCCTTCCCCAAAGTGTTAAGATGGAAAGGTATATTATCAGAGGGAGAACGCTAGAATTTGCTTTCCTCCCAGACACCCGTCAAATCATCTTTAGATCTGAATCCAGAGGCAGGAAGATTTTGGTTGTCTCTGGGGCATTTGGCAATATTAACAAATGTGTCCCGAACATAAAATGGTCAAAAAGTCATGGCTAATCATCCACTGGCTCTTACACTGATGTACACTTATTCCTAAAAAGCTGGAAGCATTCCCACTACTTCTAAATGTTAGGGCTTGATAACCATCAATTAATACCGATATTCACAAACAAAGGACCTCTATCAATTTCCACCGTCCTCCAACTTAATAGCTTTTATAAAACAGTGCCTAAATTGCACTTCTTACACCATTTGGACGTACTTCAAATTTAAATAAAGAACTAGTGGCAGTCAATGCAACTGATAGAATAGCATCATGCCCTGCAAGAACTTAAGCACTTAACATTTTTTTTAGGAATTTCCTTCCAATGGAGGAGGAAGTAATTAAGAAAACAATGGAATGTGCAGAAATGAGTAATTAACATTAGCAATTAAAGAGCAGGAAAAGGAGTATTATAAGATATGGGATTTATTTTATCGATGATTAGATAGAAAAGTAGGAAATTAAAGTATAACATAATAGTTATGATATGTTACAGTTGATCATCTCTAAATAAGTTATACCATGAATAAAAATTAGTAAGAACTGAGATTTGCTCTTCAGGATAATATGGAATTTAAGAGGAAAAGGCAATATTGTACACAAGATATATGTACCAAACCGACACACTGTATAACTGAAAGGTTTTATTTGTTGTCTTGTATGTTTGTTGTAAAAAATAAAAAACTTTTTATTTTTTAAAAAAAACATTTTTAGGAATTTCCAAACCATTCCATTACTATTCTCATTACAAAACCACAACTTTTTTGTGCCGCTAATATCAGTAGTATACCTTATGACCACTGCATGAAGCACCTTGCCTATATTTATCAATGTAGATGTCTGCGTGTCTGATATTCACAAAATAGATACTTTTCCCCCTGTTGTATAATCCATGTAGCCTTCAGGACAAACTTGTCTCGGTTCAGCAGCTAAGCAGGGTTAAGTTTAGGTTTGTACAAACCGCCCATGGCTTACTAGCATTCATTTAGTGATCGTTTAATGTTACAGTGGCACTGGGACTTCCGCTTTGAGCCTCTTCACGGATAGACCGAAACCGCGATCGTGCACGGTTTTGGTCCATGCTCGCCACTGAAGCGCCCCAAGCCGGCTGGTTTTGGGGCTAAGCCACTCTGTAGAGGTGGTGAAGAGGGGGGAGACTGCCAGCAGGGTTGAGGAGAGCCGCATCTCTCCTCCTCAGCTGGCCATTACTCCCTTTCCCGAAGGCAGTTGCAGCGGTGGTCAGAAATGGCCACCTCAAAGAAGAACTCGACCGGAAAAGAATGTGCAGGAGGAAGATAAGAAGACAAAGTTTTGGTTGACCGGGTTAAACTGCAAAAGCAACAACTAAGGTACCCTGGAATTTAAACTCAAAATAAAGTAACATTGTTCCCAAAGAAGACTTTGAAACAGCGAAGGAGAGAGAAAAGGGAAAGGATTTGGTTTTTTTTCTTCTCTCCCTTTCCCTATACTGACAGCTAAGAGATTTAAATAAGAAATTGGAAAAAAAAAATCCACTTTGACATCAATGGGCGTATAAGCTGAAAATAAAATGTCAATGGGATAATAAAGATTTCTGGATTCTTAAAAGCTTTTAAAAGCAGGAAAGGAGAGAAAAAGAATAAAAGGGCAGGATCTGGAAAAAAGGGAGGAGACTGCCTGGAATTAAAAGGAATTTACAGTAAAACCTCAACAAGACTTCTAAAAGATACATTTTAACTGAAACTTGGCAACAAAATAGTAGAACCCCAGGAAGAGAAAGTAAAAAAAAGAAGCATGAAGAAACAGCTTGGGAATATTTGGATTATTTGGTGATCTCTGGATTTTTGGTTATTGCATTTGAATGACTAAAATCAATCGGGTGGTTGTTTAAAAGTGTTTAAAATGGCACTACTTATAGAAGAACTGAAAATGGAACTTAAAAAGTACAAAGAAGATGCACCAGAAGGGAGAGGTTCTTTTGGCTTCGTATTTCAATTCTTAGAAATGGAGATCTGGAACTATGAGAAACAACAAGAAATGCCTGCAGAACAAGAAGATTGGGACAAAGAAGAAGCCATCTTGTTCATTAAACAAGTAATTTTATGTGGGGGGAAAAAGGAAAGGGGGGAAAGAGAATGAAAAGTTTAAGATTTGAAAAAACAACCAAGAAAAGGAAGAATAGTTTGAAAAATGTATAATATTAGAAAGCAACAGAAGAGGGGAATACAGAAGAGAGAATTAGAAGTAGAGAGACAAGGGGGTAAAAAGGGAAGGGAGAAGAAGAGAGGGAAGAAGGAAAGGAAAAGAAGTTATAAAGGACAGAAACAAGATATGGAGAAACAGGGCCTATTTAGAGATAATGGGTAAAATTTTAATTGAAAAAGGGATTCTGCAAAGGTACATAAGATAGTATTGTTATATTAGAAATAGAAATAATTTTAGAAAATATGAAACAATGTATGATTAAAATGATGGATAAAGTAGTTATTGTAATCTAGTGAAATAAAACGACTGAGATAATCGAATTAGGAAAGAATGAGAACATTTTAATTATTTAATGTTTTATAAAATATAAGGGAAGAAATAGGGGAAAATATAAAATTAATTACAGAAAGCTTAAAAGTGTTCCCAAGGAAGTATGATATTTAATTGAAAAGAAATGTTAAAGTTGTTAAGATTTTAATGAATATTAATGATAGAACTGAATTGGAATGGAATGAGTGTTTTAATTACATATATTTATAATCACTTTTTAAGAATATAGTGTGTATTTTAAGAATGTACCAAGAAGAATTCAATTGGAAGTTATGTATTATATTGAATGTTATAACCTCAAGGTATATATTGAAGCTTAAATAAGAGTTGAATGGATAAAATTAAAAGATATAAAGGTGTCATACTCCAATTAGTAACTACAGGAGAAAATTTGTTTAATGAGAAAAGAAAATATGAAATTGAAACAGGACAGACAAAAGTATAAATATGATTTGAATTGAGATGAGATAATTAAAATTGAGAAAATTAAGAGGAGAAAAACTATGTAGAAAATGTAAAACAGTAATAAGATATGGAATAGAACATAAAAGTGAGCATGAAATTGAGTTTGTGTCTGTATGAAGAAGTGTAACCCGGGACCATGCTATTTTCAAAAAAAGATGTTTTATTTGTATTATGGTTTTTTTTTTGTGAAAACCCAAATAAAATTTTCAAAATAAATAAATAAAGTTACAGTGGCACTGAAAAACTACTTACATTTTTGTATGTTAAGTTTGCTTGCAACAATCATGACAGCATTCCCCAAGTCATGTGACCAAAATTCAGGCGCTTGGCAACCAGCATGTATTTATGATGATTTCAGCATCCTGGAGTCGTGACACTCAGTAAGGGAAGCTAGATTTGCTGAACAAGCACCTGATTCAGTTAATTGCAATTATTTGCTTAACAGCCCTAACAAGAAAGGTTATAAACTTGGGTGTAACTCGCTTAACAACCACCTTGTTTAGCAACAAAATTTATGGTTTCAATTGTGGTCATAAGTCAAGGACTAATAGTATTTGGATGAAAGACAACTAGGGGATAACAAGGTAGCAGCCTTTTTTTGGGACAAAGAAAAGCAGTAGTGAGCCAATTCCAAACTCTATAGATATGTTCCTGAAATGCCAGAGCCAAAGTCATCTTTAGGGCATTTTAATATTATATAAAAAAAATTAGGTAGCATTTCAGAAACAGGAAGGAAAGGTTTAAGAAAAAGAGGGTAAAATGAAAAGAGTGGGTGCTGAATTCAACAACTAAGTCTAGAAACAACTCCAGAATCTGTTTTGATTAAATATCTTTTATCCAAAATAAAAACAACTGCTTTAGCTTTTGTATTGTGAATGGGGGCTATGCTTCTACAGTCCTCTCTAAGAGCATGTCATGAAGTTTAAACTCAAGTTGTAATGTTCAGCTACTGTTCTTAGCCATTGCCCAAAAAGAAAGTGCACCCTTCAATTTCCTGTCAACAGCTAAAATACAATTTCCTGTTGTTCCAGTTATATCTAGGTATGCCTCCCGTAACAGTAAGTGCATCTGAACTTGTAACAAAGATATTAAAAAAAAAACTATGAGAAGAGATGGATTTTCTGAAAATGTAACAATAATGTGCGACAACTAACTTTAGTATGTGGGAGGATGTATCTTGAACAATCTTATTATCTCACAAAGAGAATGCACTATGAGTACACTAAAAAAATTTTTTAAAAGATTTTCCTAATTTTGGGAACAAGAAGCTGCTTTCTACCAAGTCGGACCAGTATACATTTTAAGGAGGTATGGGAGAATCAAAGCCCTGTTTTGTGGCGATAAGGCTGACCCTCTGAAGTGACTTTCTGTTCATTTGTTTCCAAGATTGCCTGTCATCCAGAAAAGAAGCTCAATATGGAACTTTTCAAGAGAGCTTTGGCAAGATCTGATGCTGTACATTACTTTTGAGCTTTTACCTGTCTCAGGATTTTTGTATTTATTGTGTTTTTATATCTTGTTAACCATCAAAATATGTTGTGGCATGCAAATTTGATTAAAAAAAAAAGAATATTTAATCAGGCATCAGCAAACACCATGGAATACTTAAGCCTGGAAATACCTTGAGGCTGTTCACACACTTAAATGAATATTTGCATTTCTTTGACTTCCATTTTCCTTTTCCCCAACTTTTCCTTCCTGGCGCATTCGGAGTGTTCGTAGGAGTATCAGGGCGTTCAGTATTAGTACCGCTCTCTATACTAACAGCATCGTCCTGGAAACAAAAAACAAGATGCATTTCATAACTAACCAAAACCAGCAACAGCAATGTCTGAATTGCAAAAATTTTCCAGAATGATTGGAAAAACACAAGTTTCTGAATAGTTTAGCTAAGAGTATTCTACAAACACCAGATATTCAGCCTTTTATAATCCTCCTTTGGCACTTATAAACAAACAACTAAAAATAATAATGTACCCAGTAGGGACTAGCGTGTTTGCAAATAGGCACTTTTTGTTTAATTTTATAAAACTGTCATTATGGCACGTGGAAGTTTAAGCAATAAATTCTAACATCTTTTTCAGACTCTGGGCACCGAGCTTTGGTAGAAAATAAAAACAATGGATGGCTTTGCTAGAAAATATGCAGCAAGAAAGAAAAACTAGGCAAAAGATTTCCTTTTTTAAAATATATTTTAGGAGAAAATATTTGAGGGAGATTCGTTACGCTGATAAAAGTGCTCTTTTTAATTAGTGATGCCCTTGTGGTGGGCAGTGTTTTTCAAACTAGGCAAATTTGAGATGTCGGACTTCAATTCCCAGAATTCCCCAGCCAACATGGAAGGCTAGGGAATACTGGGGGGTTAAACTGTACACATCTTCAAATTGCCAAGTTTGAAAAACACGGATGGTGAGTCACACTTGTTCATGAGCAAAACTAGCACATCTTACATTGTATTCTTAAAATTCTCAGTTGTGTCAACCAATTAAAAAAACTTCAGAATCCTTCTGGAAAGAGGAAGAAAAAGAACACTTTAGAGAAGAAAATCTATAATCTTAGGTAACCTCACACAAGAAAAACTGCTCTTCCTGAATCCTTCTCAATATTGGTCAATAAATTGGTTTGACTGGGTGGCTAAACTCTCACTAGGACAGAAACCCTCTGTCTGGCCAGTGCTACCTCTGAATTCAAGAATGACCATTTATGCTTGAATATTCTGACAATAGAATAGAGACAAATTAAGAAGCTTATCACTGACATGTTTATTTTCTATTTCAATAATTTAATTTTGACATAGTCTTATTACCTATGAAAATAATATCTATTATCAGGGAATGCCCATTGTCCCCACGTGATAAGGATTATATTTCAACATACCTGATGGAGCACAGCTAGTCCCTTTCCAAACTGGTGCTTCCAGACCCATCATCCCCAATCACCACATGCAAATGATTATAGGAACTGCAACTCTACCTTTAACGTCCAGTCAAGATACAAGTAATCCTCAACTTACAACCTCAACTGAGCCCAAAATTTATGTTGTTGAGAAATGTGTTAAATGAGTTTTGCCCCATTTTATGACTTTTCCTGCTACATTTGTTAAGTGAATTGCTGCAGTTGTTGAATTAGTAAGCCGGTTAAGTGAAACTGGCTTCCCCATTGGCTTTGCTTGTCAGAAGGTTGCAAAAAGTGATCACATGACTCCGGAACACTGCAACCGTCATAAATATGAACCAGATGACGAGTTTGATCACATGACCATGGGGATGCTGCAATGGTTGTAACTGTGAAAAATGGTCATAAGTCACTTTTTTCAGAGCCGTTTTAACTCATCACTAAATGAACTGTTGTAAATCAAGGACTACCTGTATTTGAGGAATGGGATTAGAGTTGCACTTTAACTCTGCAATCATATCATCCCCAGATTATATAAAAAGGCTGGGGACGATAGGATTACAGTTCCACCTCTTTTTCCAGCCCTATCATTCCCAGCCAACAAAACAAGGCTAGGAATGATGGGATGTATAGTTCCACCTTCTCTTTCCAACCCTATCAACCCCACCAAACACAATAAGGCTGGGAATGATAGGATTACATTTCCATCTTCTCTTTCTAGCCCTATCATCCCCACAATCCCATCACAAGGCTGGGAATGATGGGATTTACTGATCAACCTCCTCTTTCCAATCCTATCAACCCCACCAACACAATGAGGCTGGGAATGATGGGATTACACTTCCATCTTCTCTTTCCAGCCCTATCATCCCCAGCCAACATAACAAGGCTGGGAATGATGGGATTACAATCCCGCCTTCTCTTTCCAGCCCTATCAACCCCACAATCCCATCACAAGGCTGGGGATAATGAAGTTGGAAGTCCCTTTTTCCCTCTCCTGGTCTATCATCCCCATAGCTGGGGGCGGGAATGACGGGAATTGGCAGCCCCATCTCTCTGAGGGGCTAGAGGGGCTGTCCCCAGCACCCACCCACCCACCCACCCATGGTTGCTAGGAGACGCGCTAGGCCCGGGCCTCGACCACCTTCGACCTTCCCAAGGAGGCCGGGAAGGCGAAAAGCCCCGTGGCGGCGGCCATCCGACTTTCTCGCCGGGGCCGCTCACATTTTCGTCTCCCGAGAGGTCACCGGGGTTGCTGTTCTCGTCGCTGCTGAGCTTCTGCTTCTTGGTCGGCATCTCTGTTGCCGCCGCCGCCGCCGCCGCCGCCGTTGTTTCGGGCGCCTCGTTTCTCCCGCCGGTTCCACGCCTCCTCTCAGACATCTTCCCCGCCTCTCCCGCCTGACCGTAAAGTGCGGACGAGGACCGCGCCGAGGCAAGAAGACCTGCCGGGCGAGCTAGTACGGTGGTTCTTACGGTGGCCGTAAAGCGCAAACGGCTTTCGCATCTTCTGCCGTCGCAAAATCAACCCCACTCTCCCCCAATCCCACCCCTAAAAATAAGAAGCCACGCCGTCGGAAAATGGCCAAAGCGGCCCCCGTGCGCAGGCGCAGCGACCGCAAGTTGGCGGGCCGCCAAGTGTTCCCGTTCCTGATTTTTTTTTTCTTCCCCCAATTTAGGTTTTGGGGGACGGGCTGCTTTCAAAGAAAGCGTTTATTTGGGGGCTCAGAAAGAACAAACCCTGTATTTGTCAGTTTTAGGAACTGATTTTTGGAAGGAATGTTTAAAAAAGCATGCAAACCTTAGGATAGGGATAAGGATAAATAGAATAGGAATAGAATAGGAATAGGAATACAGGTGAAACTCGAAAAATTAGAATATCATGCAAAAGTTCATTTATTTCAGTAGAGTTTCATCTGTAAAATAGAATAGAATTAAAATAGAATAGAATAGAATAGAATAGAATAGAA